CCCAGAAAAACAGTAAAATAGGCTCAATTGTCCATGCCAAATGTAAAATTCCTGTAAGCTAAGCACAACTAAGCAATAGCTCCATAAAAGAAAAATCCAAGAAATTTAAATGTATTAATACTAATAGTAAATTAATAATCAGACAACCCAACAACATCGATCAACAAAAACCCGAAACAATTCATAAAACCTCAATCCAAAAGGTGTTTCTTTCTGCAAGACCACAGAAAATTCTGACAATCAGAAAGCTAAAGATCAAACCTTTAACCATTTGTTCGTTGTCATAACCCTTTGAATTGACCCGAATCGGTTCGATCCGCCTCGATTTAGAGCCAGCCGATGATGTAGTTGGGCTCCGACAACTTGTCGAAGAGCAGGACAACAAGTCATTTGATTGCGGGGGGCCACTAGAAGCCATTTGCGGCCGCGCGGGTTTGCTGGGTCAGTGGTGGAGAGGAATGGATTGTGGGTAGAACTCAGTTGCTGAATTTGTGGCGCCTTTGGCGGCGCTTGCTCATGGTGGTGGCCGCAGGCTGTGGGTGGATGGCTGGGGAGAGATGTCATGAGTGGCTGCAGGCTGTGGGTGGATGGCTGGGGAGAGATGTCTATGAAGGTAACAACACAATCTAGGGTTTTGTGTGAGCTTTATTGGACCTCGTGATTTTGCTTCGCTGTAGGAAGGGAGGCGGCAGCGGTCGGGTGGTCAGGGAGGAGCTCGGCAGTGGCGACGGCAGCATGGCCGAAGAGACAGCCGCGAATGTTGCCGGCGGAGGAAGAGGAAGAGCGGTGGAGGAATGTCGAATTTTTTTCTCTCTGGCAGAAGATAGAAAAGTGGGGTGGGGGGAATGAAAAGACTGTCGGCTGGTTTGCGTGTTGAACAAATAAAATTGAATGAAAATTGGTCGCACCAAATTTTCAGGGAGAAAATCCCGCGATAGCATCGGAAAGGTACAAAGAACACGCGGTAAATTACCATACACCCCACATAAAAGCTGAATGCACAAGTGTTATTTAAGTCAAAACACAAAAAAGTATTAAGGACATCAATTTTACCTTATTGCCCTTCCAAATTTGTATAAGATATTTATGTTGTTCTTCTTAAAAAAAGGGTATTCATGTAATTGCCACAAAAATAGCCACTTGTCAATCAAGGAATTCGCCACTTGTCGCCACCACAAAAAGTCTCACTTCTTCATATATAGATAAGAGAGATATATCGAAAAATTTCTGTCAAAATACTCGTTGTCTATAGGCTCTACTAGATATGGTGACGGGTCACCCGACTTGCTGTTCTAGCCCGGAACCGGTACAAACCCGACCCAGCATACCCGTTGACCATGGATCCGACGTCGGCATGGATTTTAATCGGGCTAGAACACAGTCGACCATTTTGAAAATGTGACCTAATAGGCCAGTTCGCATTCGGACCAGGTCAGGCTAATTCGGAAAAATCAACCGTCTTCATTTATTTTAGGACAAGTCCCGAATCCGGTTCGGGTCCAGCCCATCCCGTTGGGTCGTGTATCCGGCCCATACCTATGTATGGGTCAATTCAGGATTAGTGATTTTTTAACGGCGACCCGTCGGGCTCGACCCGGAATTTGGCCAATGTCTACTCTACCTACTCCTTGAACAAAATAAATAGTAGCTCCTACAGTCTGTAGACTCTATAATAAATAAATAAAATTGAACAGTTTGACAACTCTGCGCCGTGTGCATGAACAGTGCCCAGTGAGGAAGGTGAAAAAAAAAAAAAACAAAAAAAGCAAAAGAAGACATTCCAGTTCTTCAAACTGTGAAAATGGCAAATCCAGTAAAGAAACTTTTGCTAACCTCAAGCGGCGACGAGGTTTCCATCAACATCGCCCGCCATTTAGCCCAGCGTGGTTGCCGGTAAGTCCTCGCAGCATCTTTATCTTTATATTTAATTAAAGAAAAAAAAATGGAATTATGCTTAATACAGACGAATTGTGCTTTGCGAAGGTTGGTTTTGATGGGAGATGAGGAGCGCTTGAGGATTGCGGCGGACGAGATCAGACGATCCTTGAACGGCGTCGTTTCGATCGAGGTAATTGGGCTGGATATGGAAGAAGAAAGAGAGGCTGTTTTCAGTGAAGCCGTGGAGAGGGCAAGGCGCGTGTTGGGGAGGTTGGACGCTTTGGTCAACTGCTATTCCTATGAAGGTATTGTTATTTTGTTCAGATGAGCATTCAGCACACGCGCTTTATTCGTTTGGAAAATTTTGATGGGGTGTGAGCTTGAGGTAGAGCTATTTCGGTTCGATTGTTTGTGAGTTGAAATACGATTGGTGTTAAGTTAATTTTAGTCGATCCTAAGAGTATGTTCTTGATTGTGGTGAAGAGTGTTAAAGTAAAAGGGTTTTCAACATTTAGCAACTTGATAGAACTTAAGTGTAAACACTGTCCTACACATTTCCCTTTGTTGAGGTTGGAGAATAAGTTTGCTCAGTGGTATGTTTATTGAGGAATCTTGTTTGAGATGGTCATACTACATTACTTAAATTTTCAAAGCTAGTCTGTTTTCTTGCTCATCACTAAATTAACCCAGCTGGAAAAGCTATATGTAATGTTTGCTCAGTGGTATGTTCAGTGAGGAATGTTGTTTGAGATGGTCATACTACATTACCTAAATATTCGAAGCTAGTCTGTTTTCTAGCTCATCACTAAATTCACCCAGCTGGAAAAGCTATATGTCATGTTTGTCTTTATTGTCCAATTCATCATGAAGAGTAGAGGATAAATATCGATTGAATAACTCTATTTGCTTCAGCAACCTTTTCCTTAACAGAGGAAATTCTATGACGTTCAGAAGCTTGTTATTCTTATTCATATTTGCTTTCATAGCTAAAGGGAGGTCATAAATTTAAAGGATCTATCATTATTTTTTATAGTCAAGGTTATTTTGGTTTCCTTGGGAGAATCTCATATTGAATGTTTTTGATACAAACCCATCACAGTCTCCTCTTCCCTTGAGATAATTTGGCGTGAGGCACCGTTGAACTTGGTATCCTGGCCGCTTTCTCATAGGCATAGTATTAATGTGAAAGTGAGCAGCTGCTAGTAGTCAATAAAACTTCGAAATGGATAATTGTTATGTAAGGAAATAGTTTCCTACTTTTTTAGTAGAGTTTTACTTAAATGGATCCTATAAACGTTTTCTATATTATTGGTCTGTTGTGGATCATCGAGGATGGACGTTCAGGGCAGTTGCAGTGTCTTTATTCATACTACTCTCATTTTTCAGTCACCTGTAATTTTTCACAGGTAGAATAGCACAAACTCTATCAGTACTACTTTCTACTTTTGCATATTTTGGTGTCTAGCTGCTATAACTACAAGTAAAANAAAAAAACTTTTAACCTGTAATTACTATCTGAAACAGGAAAGATGCAAGATCCTCTGTCTTTATCTGAGAATGAGTTCAAAAAGATTGTCAGAACCAACTTTATGGCTGCATGGTATCTCTTAAAAGCTGTGGGCACAACAATGAGGGACCAAAAATCCGGGGGTTCTATTGTCTTATTGACCTCAATATTGGGGGCTGAAAGAGGATTGTATCCAGGATCAGCAGCATACGGTTCGTGTTTGGCTGGTATACAGCAGCTAGTAAGGGTGAGTGTAGAATATTACTACCCCAAGTTACTATAATTAGCAAATCTAAGAATTCACATTTTGTAGCTTCAGTGGTATTGCTTTGTTTAATTTTCAGACAGTGTTGAACTGAACAATCTCATGCAATTTGGGGGTTAAATTTCAACAGTTACCACTGAGTTTTTTT